CCCATATTGGAAAAGTTAGGAAAGAGTTGTGGACTTAAAATAAAGTTGGTGTCATAACTAATCTTATTATGCCTACAGCTAATGTTTTGGCCATCCATTGATGCTTCTTTTTAATTATTGCTACTCTTTAGCTTTTGTAGGCTACTCATTTCCTTCAATAGGACTCTTAATGATACATCAGGCACTTGCATTCATGTCTTCTGTCTGGAGATTCATGATTAATGATGGGGAAAATGGGACCTAATTGGATTGAAATTTAGAAGGTAACCGAAAGATAGTTTCATCTCTCAACTTCTTTGTACTGTTTCACTTGACATTTCACCTAATGCCGCCTTGATTCATATTTTTTCCGCTTGGAGAGCTCATATCAAATTATGAATTAATCAATGACAGGAAACCGATGTGATAGAGGGAATTTGAGTGAAGGGATGATTAATTTTTGCCTGAAAGAATGTTTTATTACAATGTGCCACTTAATTTAAAGGGAAAGTAATGATATCCTACATCAATGAGAAGATTCTTTCGTCCTCGATCGGTTCTTGTAAAATTTTGGTAATCTAGGAATTTTATTTGGGACAGTACGAATAAAAAGCGAGACATTGGATAATTGGTGATGTCACATCGTATCTCGAGGGAGTAAAGAAAATTATATTTTTATTATTATTCATCGTTTGATAATATATACAGTAAGTTGATAGCTTCTGTCAGTTTTTTTTTTAAATTTGTTCAGTTAAATTTTTATCTTTTTTTCCCTCCTAATTTAGTTTTGGTTATAATAATATGATACTCTCGCTTCTGAATTTATCATTCATTCTCATAGTTAATGGTTCGACGCGTACATTTCTCTGTACGTCAATGCTCAAAACGGATTCCATTCGGTTGATGAACTTGAAAACATTCGAAACCTGTTTTAGTATCAAGCATTTTATTTTAGACATTACATCTCCGAGCCAATTAAAAAAGAAAGAAAAAGAAGAAGAAGAAGAAGGAGAAGATACATGATCAAGTAGCAAGCATAACCATATTAAACAATACAATAGAAGCAACATAAGCATTGAGAAATATTTGGGGGAATCATTCATGACCGATTTATTGGAGCCATTCCTTGTTACTTTGGAGTTGAACCTGCGAACTTTGATGGTGTTGTTTTTCCACTCCCTGGACTGAGTCGTCCTCCTCTTCCACCAACACGAGGACTTTGCTCTCGTCTCAGCTCGCTCACGCGAGGACTATGCAAAACCCGGGGGCTTTGAAGCCCATGCAAATCTGAGGCCGGTGTCCCAGTAGAACTTGTCACCTTCGGACTACTAAATCGTCTTATCTCCCCGCGACTCCTCGTCACTAACTCATCAAGAATCTCTGCACTCTCCGCCTGTAAATTTCTCACCCCCATATCAAATTCCTGCAACAAGCAACCAAATTAGCACGGGACGGCAAAATGTGCAGCGGTGCTAAAAAAACAAGCTAGCGGAACTCACGGCTGCCACTT